AGAGAGAGAGAGAGAGAGAGAGAGAGAGAGAGAGAGAGCAAACAGAGAGAGAGCGGCAACAACAGCAGGAACGCACAGGAAGTGAGAGAAGCAAAAGAGGGGCACCCACGGAGGGCAGAAACGGCGACCACCGGAAGGAGCGAGAACGAGGTTGAGAGAGAGAGAGAGAGAGAGAGAGAGAGAGAGCTACACAGCGGGCGGGCGGGCGGAGCGTGTGTGTGAGATCGCTACGCTGGAGGGGCCCCCGAGAGAGGGAGAGAGAAAAATGTTGGGCCGGCGGTCCACCACAAGGCGTTCTCCAAGCTCGTCGGCAGCGGCAGCTGCGGTGGCTGCGGCGGCGACACAGGCAAGTCATGTTAGCGAGAGTGCAGGGAGGCTGTGGAAAAGTGTAAATACACGCTGTGGTTGGTATTCTACCACGAGAGGGCAACGGCGGTTGTACTGCTGTGACCTGCAGGTGTGCAGGTGTGTATCGGAGCCTGGTTTTACGTTATGAGTGCGTACCGTGTCGGCTGGGTGGCATGATTGAGGTCATCGTGCGTTTTCGCTGCATCTACGTTCATCGTGCTTGTACCTCCCCCTTCCTTCAGTCCGGTCTTTCAATGTTGCTGCCTCTGCTGCTATCTCTGTTTCTGTTTGTAGTATTGCAGCTCCTGGTGCTGCCCTGTTTTCCCTCCTCTCGTACGCACATGCCGCATCTGTAGACAATTTTTCTGTTTTTTGTTGGCGTCCATGAGATGGTAGCGGTTCTCCGGAGGCACTGATTACCCTGCTGTGTCCGCGGAGTTTTGGCCTACACATCAGACGGCAGGGATTTGTGTGTCTCCCGCGTGACCCGCCACATTTCGGCATCACTGCCGAAACCGGCTCGTTATTGCAGGTCCAGAACGGATCGCACATTTCTCTTGTTGAAGTAGGAGAGCATGACCTGCCTTGTGTTTTCCCCGCCTTCCTGCCTGCCCAGCGGGGGGGGGTGTACTCATAGTCGTGCATGCCGTAGTCGTTAGACCATTGACCTCGCATCCCTACAAAGCCGGGACGGAGCACGCCGGGTTCTCACCGGACCAGGCTCTCACATCACCAAGCGCGAAGCGCCGTGAGATATTCGGCGAGTCGCATGAAGGGTGCGCTGCATCCTGCTAAGGGTGTTCGGCATCTTGTGCTTACTTCCTTGCGTACGGATGACAGCTGCGTATGAATTAATTTATTTTCTGGTGCTTGCATTTTCAGATACAGTTGTAAGCACTGTGTAACTGCCTCGAGGTTGCTTGACCATTTTAACACNTTTTAACACAACGTGGTGCGATCATCCCCCTTGCGCGGAGTGAAGCTTCTCCACCCCGCACAACATGATCTACTCGACCACCATCATGGTTACCGCCAATATAAAAGAGGGGCAGGGGGGGGCGCAACTCTTGGGTAGAGCGAGGAGAGCGCAGTCTCAGCCTAGCGGCAATCGTTTCGTCGATGGGTGTCTTTTCCCTCGTCGTCCCGCCGATCAAGTAGCAGCCCGCGATTACGAGAGGAACTGCCGTGAAACACACACTCGACAACAGAGCTGATGGTTACCGTTGTCACATTGACCAATCCCTTCCCACCCCGGCCCACGTTCTCCCCCCCCCCATACTCCAGCCGAACGGCGGCGGCGGCGGCGGGTCATCATCGTCGGCACCCTCAGCAGCAGCAGCAGCAGCAGCACCGGCACCACCACCAGAGGTAAACGGCAACGGTGGCGATGACGCGGCGGCGGAGGAGGAAGAGGCTTCCAACGGTGGCTCCACTAGCCCCGATGCGGGAGCCGGAAGCGGGAGCGGCGACGGCGGCGGGGGCGGGGAGGGGGGCAAGGGTAGTGGCGGCGGGGAGCTGGAGGCGCGGCAGCGGGGGCTGCACAACCGCGGCGGGGCGACCGCGAACAAGCGACCACGTGAGGGAAATGCTTACTTTTCGGGCACGAGGGAGCGGGATGCACGGGGGGCGCGATTGCGCATGTGTGCAAAGCCGTATCGGGGTGAGGGTGGGGGTGCACCACGCATTACCGTATATGACACAAGATAACACACCCCCTAGACCGATTTTCAAAGCTAAATTACTCCACGGCCAAGAGGATGCATAGACAAAACGATACGCGTTAAGAGAGTTCTCGACCAGACGGCTTCAACGCCGCCGTTTTCGGTCCTGCGGCTGTTGCTGCTGTTGAAAAATTGAGCTTTGAAAATCGGTCCAGGGGTATGTTATGTTGTGTCATATACGGTAGTTTCGTGCTTGTCGTGCTCGTTTTCTCGCTCACCGCGGATCGCACCGCTTTCAAATGGTGAAACGGTGCCTTGTTTCTAGCTGATACTCAGCTTGAACGGCGCGTGGGGGGGGGGAGGGGGGGGAGGATGGGGCACGAGAGAGATTTGCAGCGGCGTATGATAGATGCAAATCACGATGAACTAAGTGAGGAAGTCGAAGTCGAAGTCGTAGACGGTTAAGGTCATCTGAAAGGTTGGTTGGCGGGAGCGGCAACAGCAACAGCAACGGCGGCAAGGGCATCAATGAGAGCCAGATAGGAGACACGGTAGACAAGTTCGACGGAGATGGGCAAGAAGAGGACACAGGCACTACGTAACAAGGGAGAAAGGACGAAGTGGGGGAATGAAATCAAGGGGGGGGGTCAGCAGAATGTTTTCGAGCAAGAGACATCCTACCCAGAGGCACTTGAACGTGTTGCCATTGTCACATATCCGATCGACTTCTTCTCAGCCACGCCCCCTACCCCCGTAACCGTGACCCCTTTGCCCCCCCCCCAAATCCTTTCCGCGTGCAGCAAGATCGGTCCATCCGAACCGAGAGTCTAGCGATCGGTGGTTCACGAACACCCACATCGCCATGGTGGGCATCCTGGCCGCGTTGTTCAACGACCTAGAGGAGCGGTACTCAACCACTTATGGACAGGTAGGCCGTGCTTGCCGTCGTGCGTTCGTGCTTCTTGGGGGTGGGTTCGGAAGTGGCAACGGGTGGTGGACGGTTTGGTATCTCGCCGTTATGTTCCACACCAAGCCGTGTGCGTTGTTGCCAATATAGTGGCACCGGTGGCGGAACAAACCGTATCCCGGACTTGAGGTCTTCCGTAGGGCCCCCGGCGGACAACGGCCACAACTTACAAACGGTCTTGGACGACGGGGAGAAGAACGAAGGAGAAGGAGCGTCACCACAAATGTCCTTGTGATGATTGGAGGATATAGACCCCAACAACGAACAAAGTGTAGGTTTTTTGGTCTGGGTGTACATGGTTCAAGTTCGTTAGTTTCTTGACAATCAAGCCCTCGATTTCTTCAGGGATTGGAGACAAGGTGTTTTGGCGCTGGATCTATTTTTGAACTCAAAATCCGATGTTGACAACGAAAGCAACAGCCTCTCTGAAAACAGTCAGCATTCTGTGCCGGAACCCAACATTGGTCACAGCCAGACCGTAAATCCCTGAAGGGAGGGTCTCGTCAGCAGCAGCTAATGGCTTGAGCTACTGCTGTCAACCCGCAGTTCAGGAGTTTGGGGTCAGTGGCGGCGAGCAGAAGCAGTACAAGACACACAGGGTGTCGGTCTTATTTACTCAAGGGTGTGTTTGGTAAGGTACATACCGAGGCGTACCAGCGGTATTATACCTCCGGTTTACCAGTACCGAGATGTTCGGTACGTTCGGTATGGACTTCAACACCTTACCGAAGTGTTCGGTACGTTCGGTACGGACTTCAACACCTTACCGAAAATACCGGTACGTTCGGTATGGACTTCAATACCTCACCGAAGTTTTCGGTACGTTGGGTACAAATACCGAGATGTTCGGTACGGTACCGCTATGAGCTGTCATACCATACCGGGATGCTCGGTACGTTCGGTACGATGTGAATACCTTACCGAAAATACCGGTACCGTACCAAATACACCCTTGTTATTTACGGAGGTTTAGGGAGATTGTAGGCTGCTACTACGACCCTGGATATCGCTAACCCCCCCCCCCGCTGCTATGGGGCTATGGGGCTATGGGATGTCCTCTAGTGATCAATAGAATGCGTATGAGCGCCTGCTGGCTCGTTTGGCTTAAATTTTGACTGGTGTGAATTTAGTATTGATTTCAATGGAGGCGTGTGGAGGTGGACGCGAGAAATGTGTGTTTAGAGCAGCCTCCACTGCTGCCCTGAGCGAGAATTAACTATATCTGTTATCCGGGATGCCGTCCGACTAGTCTTGTGTGTCTCGTGTGCATTTTCTGGTGTGATTTCGTTCGTTTTCAAAATCAACCCACATAAGCATTCGTTGTCTGCCACCCCCTAACTATGAGACCAATTTGTCTAGCGGTGGCACGCCATGTATCGAACGAGGAGGCGTTTATTTGCGACCGTACGGCCATGTTCTCACTCAAGCCTTGGGAGGCACGGAGGTCTTCTCGACAACGATCGAGAGTTCTCGGACTATACCGTCTTTGTTTTTTTGTTGGAGGGTGGCTTGTTCTTCGCTCTTTGTCGTCGTGCGGTGTTGTTTTCATGTCAGCCGTTTTGCTGTCGTGTCCTCCTGCTGATGTGGTGGCCGTTTCTTTCGTCGTCATCGTTGCCGTTACTTTTCGTTATGATCGTTGCTGTTTCTTTTCGTCGTCATCGTTGCTGTTACTTTTCGTCGTCATCGTTTCCGTTACTTTTCGTCGTCATCGTTGCTGTTTCTTTTCGTCGTCATCGTTTCCGTTACTTTTCGTCGTCATCGTTGCTGTTACTTTCCGAGAGCCCGTAGTCCCAACGACTGCTCTCTGCCAGAGTGAGCCTATATCCTCTCTGCCATCAACCATACGACCAAGCATGAGATGGAGACCGGGACGTGTTTCGTACTACATGCCCTCGTGCGACGGTGCCCCTCTTGTCCCAAGGTTTATCTGCTGTCACGCGTGATCTCTGCCCTCTCTCCCCGCCATCTCTCTCTCCTGTTTGTTTGTTCTCTCTCTCATGTCCTCGAACGCTCTCCTCCTGAGGCAATCTATTCAATTCTCTTACATAACACGATCCCGCTACCCACGTCTGTTTGTATCTGGCGGCCTTGCTCGCTTACCACGATCACCCTCCGCTCTTTCGTTCTGCAAACCATCATCCTCTTACCCAACAACAACTTCTGCGGCGAAGGACCCTGTCGTGGACGATGCTGTGCTGGGCTTCATCCAGCGCATCAAGGACATCGGGCAAGGGGTTACGGTCTTCACGGTGTCGAGGCTGCAGACGCACTCGCTGATTTCCAACACCGTGCAGCTGTGGTGAGAAAGGGGGGGGGGATGGCAGGAGGGGGTCTAGGAGGGAGCCAGAAAGCACTCTCGCACAAAGGAACTTACTTGAGTGTTTGTTCATCTTTTGCATAGGCAGGACTAGCCCAACCGAGGGGAGTGGGTCTCCGGCCCGCGTTTTAGGGAGAAAATCGAACATTTGAAACGCGTGCGAATATGTGTGCGGATGGTGGTCCAAGACGCACTAATGGGCACCCCTTGGCATTTTTGTGCACGGACGAACACGGATGTTTTCCGCTGCGATTGGTCTTTCGAACGTCCCTTATTCAGTGATTTTCTTCCCTTCTGATGGATTTTTGGGTGAAGTTTGTATACCACATATCGTTTGTACCTGCATCAAACGAAGCAGCAGCAGCAGCAGCAGACACGTCCGGGTATTGTGTAATAGAACTCCACGGAAGCGATAGACAGCCCGCCGACTATTACCTGCGAAGAAAGGCGCACATGTGTACAAGTAGGTATCCAATACACATCATATGCCAGGTTGAGAAACAATGTTGCGTTTTTGATGCTACTGCTTCGAGACGCATGTACAGCTTGCCGTCTAAGTCTTTGGCTCTACCCTCTTTCCGCTCTCTCCCCTGCGCCACTCATCCCACGTGTCCCGTTCCCCTCGTTTCTTTTGTTCCCCCTTTGTTGGCTACTCGCCTTCTCAACACCGTGTGCACGTCCAATGATGGAAACCGGGCGGTCGGTGTCTGACACGGTTTTTGATACTCTGCCGCGGTTACATGGGACGGGGTTGTCTTTTTAATCCGACGATGATTCGGACGCACCGCGACTTTTGCGACGGGTGACCGGTTGTTCGGGGTCTTCAGCCACCGTATGGCGGGGGACCAGCACAGTCAACTGGCGAAGGTACAGGAAGTGTGGGCCGGGGTTCGGGGTGGGGCGTACTCTAATGTTTTGCATGCCTTAGCGGTTAGACTATTGACCACGCGTCCTCGAGAGGACAGAGCATTGTTCCCACAGGACCGATCACGGATGGCCAATCGTTCCTTTCTACTTTGTCAAAGGTGGCTCAAAAATGTCTTCCCTAGTCTGCCTATCCTAACGATATCCCTTTCCGCCTTTTCGACCCACCTCCTATGCCCCAGTACAGCTACCGTCGTTTCCTCTCTATTCCATGCCTCAAACATTTCCCTGTCCGTCCCATCTATTTTTCCCAGCTCAGTCACGTACAC